ATATACAGAGGAAAAAGTCAGAGAACAATTATGTGGTAAATTATATGGTACAGACTGCAAGGCTGGACAAGTCTTCATCATGGGCCTTGAGGGATGAGATGGATTCTGATAGGAGGGGAGAATCAGAAAGGATACTCCAGATCAGACTAACAAAATGAGCAAAAAGGAAGGAGAGAAGAAACATGTCACACCAGGGGATCAGTAGGGAGACTAGTCTGACTGGATCACAAAATTTGTGCTGAAGAATAGAGGGATTAAGAATAAATGAGTATTAACAGATATATTATAAGGGGACACACATCAAAAGAACAAAAAATGGGCTTTAAAATCCCAGATCCTAACATATAGGATCAAAAATGATTAACAATTCAATAATTAAATTAGAAGCTCAGTTATCAACAATGTAAACACCAGCTTTCCTTAAGAAGTTCTGGCATTTCTTGATGTGTACTTTGCACACATACCAAATTATAGGGAATGCAAAAATAAGATAGGGTAAAATAAATGTCCTTCCCTACAAAAGAAGTTAATTAGGAGTGACTTCTGCTTCCAAAGAGGTATTTTTTTCCTCTAGACAAAACAAAACTATCATAGTGACTGGGTGCTATCCTCACCTTACCATTTCCCAACCAGATTAGAGTCCTAGTGTATTATCACCCTCAACAGTCTACCCTGAACGTTATATTTCTTTGATAGAGTTAAAGGGACATTCCAGCTCAGTATCAGATACCTAGGTAACATGGATTCAGGTTTCAAGTCAGGAAAGACCCTTTCCCATCTCTTTACATCTATGGCCTTAACCAGGAATACTATAGCATAGGGCAGATGAGTATGTATAAGGAAATTCAATTTAAGAAATATTGTTCCATTCTCCTTAATCACTCCCTTTGTCCTTATATGCTAGATGACATTTTCAAGGCTGTGCAATTATAAAACACGAAGGATCCCATATACCAATATGTGAATATTCAGTAGCAGCCCCTTGGAGGATCACTCCCCCAACTTGCACTCATAATCGCAGGTTGAGTCTCCACAGCGGCACCTAGTACTATAGGTCCTCATGGCTAACCCTGTGGGGGATTACTTCTGGGACAGTCAGTCTATAGACTCAATTAGCTCTTAGAAAGCATATTTACTCAAATGGAATGGCAAGAATCGAAGTTACAAAGTATTTCCCCCCAAACCTGGGGCACATCCTTCCACAAATACACAGAGCTGGTATCAGGGAAAGGGCATTAACAAAGTAATGAGGAACACATGTAGGGACCACATGTGACCAAGGCAACTCATAACTGACAGAGTAGGGTCACAGTGTCCTTTCTTTTTTCAGAGGGTCCTCACAGAGTTCACTGCAGAATGAGCTGTCAGTGTTGGTGATGGAGGAGTCACTCCACTGTTAGATTAAGTCAGCTCCCCAAAGGCCATCTCAGTGGGATAGATGGCTTGGCTGGGCTTGCTGGTCACGGGGCACAATCTATCTTTTGGACGGGTCAATCCACTACCGGGGTGGGATAGGCAAGGCACCTGACTGACAGGCTGGCTCTTTATAGGGACAGGTCAATCCACTGGATTCCCTGGTCTATCTCGTCATGACCAGCTGCAGTCTCTATCACTCCCAGAATCAGGATCAGCTGGGTGTTAACTACGCTGTTTCAGTTGGGATGCTACTGTCCTCTTGTAGAAAAAGGCAGAGAACTTTGAGCTAGAATCTGTAGAAGCTTCTTCAGCTCTGTTCCTTTATGACCTCATGTCTACAGTTTGTTACTTTCTAGGCAGACAGTAGGGAAAATCTGGCCTTTCCCGGGTGACAAGTCTTCTTGGTTCAGGACTGAGTTTCCTAATTTATGGTGATCATCCAGCTATGTTTTCCAGATTTCAGCTGGGTCTTATGCAAAATGAATGACTGAGGTCAAAGGTAGTGAGGCAGTCTACTGAAGCAAATTCGTAATTATAATTTTGAACAGTGCGACCACTTCAGGGGATTCATCTTTTTAAAAATCCTTTTACTCTACCTGGATGCCCTATGCCCCACAGAGGCTATTCTCAATCTTCTCTGCTCTTCTCAATTCTCCTACATTATCCCCACCCCATCCCTCTGGATCCAAGACTTAAGATTCATCTTTTACTGATTAAATGGAGACCATTCATCTAGAGCTTCCTCTTCTCCCCTTCTCCAAGACATCTCAACCCCTCACCCCCACCATCATCCCTTATTCTCTTTTCCTCCAGTCTGACCATTCTCTCCTCCTTGTGTTTCCATTGACACTGCTGTCTCCTGGTTTACTTCCTACCTGTCTGACTGCTCCTTCTCAGTCTCCTTTCCTAGCTCACCATCCACATCATATCCCCTAACTGGTCAATAGTGTCAAATTCAGGTCTGTAGTGACCAGGTCTATTAGCAAAATTCAATTATACAAAAAATTAAACCAACACTTCTTAAGCGCCTACTGTGTGAGGAACACCATATTAGGCACTGTATGAGAGGCAGAGTTTTTGTAAGACATGGTTCATGTCTTCATAAGGCTTGCAGTTTTGGTGAGGAATATGCCATACATAAAAATCACACATAAAATTATAGTGCAACAGAAAAGTGCAAACTGGGAGGTGAAGTCCTGGTGAGAGGAAGGGGAAGGTCATTACCAATTAGGGAGGATCAGTGAAAGCTTTCTTTAGGAAATGTAATGTGTTCTACAGATATAAGGACATGTGTACATTCTCTGGATATAATCTAAGTATGGGGTAAAATTTCATTAAGCAGAGGTTGGTTTATTCAAAATAGTACATAATGAAATAACTTGAGAGATTATGGCACTAGACTCGGTGTCAGGAAGACCTGAATTTGAATCTTAACTTAGGGACTCATTAGCTGTGTGCCCCTGGCAAATCACTTAACCTTTGTCTGCCTTGGTTCTCTCATCTATAAAATGAGGGGGATAGATTTGATGGCTTCTAAAGGTCCCTTTCAGCTCTAAATCCTAAACCTAAATCTAAATCCTATGAACTAAATCTACATCTAAACCCTATGAACTGTTTATTAATTCATCCTGGGTCACTCAAAGCTACTGGATTCAAAGATTTCCCGATTCCTTGTGGTGTGAATGGAAACTTTTATCATTACTGTTATCTCCATATGGAACCATGGGGCTGAAACAACGGTTACGTGAGCAATAACTCCTCTAGAGCACATGTCTATGAAGATGTACCCTCTCTTGAAAAGGAGGTTGTTGTATTACAGAGCTCTGCTTCTTTATCTGGTACACAGTCAGAGTTCTGCTTAATAGAAAGCTCCCCATTTCAGACTGCCATCTGCCAGGGTGGTGTTCATATCACTGTTTCCCAACAGCCCACAGTTATGAAACAAAATCTGAAGCTGCATTTCTGTGTGCTGCGACATACTCCATGTTCATACCTGCTCGGCATGTGGTCCTGCCACTTAAGCTAACCATTAAATACAGCATCATTCACAGTCTATTTTTGTCCTGCTCAGCAGGGCTGTGTTGGACATTTCAATGCTGACAAATAGGCTGCATTCTGGACCCCACTTTTAGTGATTCTAGTTAATGATAGGTTTCTAGTAGACATTGATGAAACTCCTCAAGAGGACCAATGCTAAATATCAGGTTCAAGTCTTTCTTTCAGCTATTTATTGTACATTAAAATCTGTGGCTGTGCACTGAGGGCCCCTGGTGCATGCTAGCACACAATCAAGTAATGAATTTGATGCTCTCTTTTCAATCTGGGAAGAGTGTTTGGAGGTGGTGGTGGTGAAGGGGGTTATGAAGTCTTTGATCCAATACACATTTTTTTTTTTACATCTATCTTTCTTTCTGGGGAACTCTGAAGATAAGTGCCTATCAAATAAATCTGCAAACATTTCTCTAAGAATTAAGAATAATAATTGGATGTGTTAGTGGGGATAGAAAGGGAGAAGGGAAATGGATCTTTAGACCGTTTAGGTTTTGTACATTCTTCTAGATTCTTTTGAAGATTATAGCAAGGAAAAAGTATATTGCTTACAATTTTGGCTAAGTATAGAACCAGCTTCCCTATAGTCAATTACAGTAGACCTTTCCCTCAACATATGACCTTTCCTTTAATTTAATTAGTTTCTGCAATTTCACCTGAAGCTCATGCATCATAATTCATACATCAATGACAATTCTGAAGAACTCAAAAATTAGATCCTTTTCATTAGAAAGACTCAAAAGAAGACGAACCATAAAAAGAGAGAAACCATTTTTGTTCTGGACCAGAGATTTCATTGGTGAGGGAGCTCCCTGGTGGTGAAACTTAACTGAAGCTTAACAGTATCTCTGCAACTTGTAGTTCCAGAGATTGCCTAGTGTCACTGAGAGGCTAAATCCACTCATCCAGGGTTACTCAGCTAATCTTTGTAAGATTGAACATAGAACTTCTTGTTTCCCAAGCTAGCTCTCTATCCACTCCTCCATGCATGGTATATTTAATTTTGTTTAGCTAAAGTTGGAGCCTATCTTTGCCCAACTCTAGCCTATCTCCTTTTCATAACAGAGTGTTCTTTGCAGAAAATATAAATTATTCAAATGTCTGCAATGAATATTTATATTAGCTTGCCAGTCTTAATACGGGGAGACAAATACAAGAAATTCAAGTTATCATTTCATATATGAAAACCCAGCTGTGGCCTCTGGTCCCTACTTGCCCCAAAATTCCAATTTCAGTTAGAAAAATTTGAGACTCTGACATGTTCTGTACTAGAAAGATTTCTTACTGCGGCAGAGCCACCTACTGGTGTGTTAATGCATAAATGGGCAGGCTACATTCTAATACTGTGGGGCCAACACAGCTTTTGGGATTAACTATGCGTTTCTTTCTTTTTCTTTCTTTCTTTTTTTTTTTTTAAACAAAGTCTCAGCATCATTTTCACTTAGAGCACTCGTCTCAGTATCTACTAATTAAGACTTCATGCTATGGAGCAAGGCCAGCAAGAAACAGGAGACAAGATGTTAGCTTACTCTTACCGTTACCTTAAACTGGCCTTTATTTCACCGACTTTGACTCTCTCTGTCCTATAAGTGCGGCAAGAGCTCCAGGAGGGGTGGGTAAAGGTTTGGATCGTGCGAAAATAACCTGAGGAGCATCCAAAGATCCTGAAAAATGGGAAAAATAATCCTACTTAACTGGATCAAGGGGATCTTTTGCTCTAGACAGGGCCCATATCTATACCCACTCCTTTACTTCAACAGGTTGAGTGTAGGAAAAATCATTTCAGACCTCTATGAACACCTTTAACTATTCAGAAGATCTACAGTCAGAGGCCAGGAAGACAGGAATTCCATTTGGGTCAAGTATTTGAACAACTTTTTTCGTTGCTTAAAATTCTGACTGGACAAGGAGTTCCAACAATTTACAATACACTTGGGGAAAAGAACAATGGCTGTTAGTGGGATAAGTGTTTAGCTGAGTCCTGCCACAAAAAGATGCTCATAAGGAAGTCCAAGGCAGTTTTATTAACTATTGGAGCATTCTTAGTTAGTGTACTCATGGGTGTTCCCTGCATCCAACTGAGTTCATTCACTAACATAATCTATTTGGTATATATTTTTTATAACCTATTTCGCATGCTGTCTCAGTGGAGTCTTACTTCCTCCAAAAGTAAGAAAAGATGCACATGCACACCCAGGGAAACAGTGCTAGGCTGGCTATGATTTCTCCATGGGAAGCACTTAAGTTGTTCCATGCTAATCTGTACCTACGGCTTGAAGCTGCAAATATTTAGCAAGAAGATTGCTGCATCTCATGACGTCTCACAAATGAAATCAATCATAGAACTTTTATAAGGGACTGCTAATTCCCTTCCCCCACCTACAGACTAACAAGACTTATAAAAAGTCTGGCTCCAGCATGGGAGAAGTTTATACAGTGGTCAAGGGGCAGGGGTTAGGGAAGCCAGTTCTAACCATGTGTGGCTTCAGACCCCACATTAATGCTGGTTTATACTGTCAAGTCGGCATGAGAAAAACTTCAGTTGCCTAATTTGCTGGTCTCCTGCTATTTTATTTAACCACCACCACTTCAGAGGTCACAGAAAGTGCCCTGACTGCCTATAGGAGAAAAAAAGTCAGCACCATTTACTTTAAGTCAAAGGCATTCCCACTTTCTTTCAAAGTTTTTGTATTTATGTGCTCCTTCCCATAGAGAATTCAGTATGCCTGCCTGAGCTAGCAATACCATATGCTTCTGAGTCTATTGCTAGAACTTACAAAATCTTAATATTTTAGCAAGGAGCAAAAGAATGGAAAATGTATGGTCCTTTGTATTTAAAATGATGTTACTGATTCCATATCAACAAACCATGTGTTTGGAATTGTTTTTTGACAGGCAAGAGTGGACATTCATACTCTTTCACCCAGAACCCCTTGTGATAAATGGCACAAAGTAGCCAGAACTAATTGTCTAGGCTTAGAAGTGGAGTAAGAGTTAAGTAACAGTTTTTCTCTATGTGAAGTTAATTAAATCTTCCAGAAATTAATCTTGATCTTATTAATACCACATTTTGTTTTGTTAAACCAACTGAATGAGCTAAATGATGCAGGTGACAACCCAATAACCTACAAACACATTTCAGATTAGCAATCCATGGACAAGTTTTCCAATTCTGGGTAAAGTTGGATACATCTTATGATGTGTTAATGCTGCCAGGTCCTCTCTCTTGTGAGTTTAAACAATGACCTGGTGGTTGTTATGTTAAGCTTCTACTTTATCACAAAAAGTAGGTCTGTACTTAGTTATACTTATGGACTCTTTTGGGACCTGTTATTAATGTAACCAAAGTGAATTTTTAATAAAGTATTAAAATGCCTGAGCATCACCAGCCGATATTAAAATTGGTGTTTCTAGTGCTAAAGGATGAAGAATCCTAGGGAAGTCAAGAGAGGGAATTTAAAGGGCTCACTGAGCCAGAAAATGAAATCATATCATTTGATGCCAAAGACACTACAGTGGGACCCACCTATTTATTCCAACTTCCACTAACTTAGCTTCTGTCAGATTGCATGCAAAGCATGTTACTTAATATGCTTCCTGACTTTGCATTCACTGCCATTTAGGTTAAGCCAGGATTTAGTGTATTACCTGGGCCTCGTAAACACATGAGAAGATTAAAAATTAATATATTTTTCAACAGTTTCTAACTGAATCTCACTAAATAGTCCATTACCATCTAGACTAGGTCACTACTAAGTGAACACAATTCTGACATATGATACCCTAGAACTTCATTTCTTTTCAGTTATAGCTACTGGCTTTTGCTAGATATAACAAATAGCTTCTGGTCTTTGTTAAATGGCCGTACTTGCAACTCTATCTAATAAGATTAGTTTAAGTATTCAACACTTAAGGAAGAATTGAATATGCCAGGTAAAATCTTCATGTTACAAATATAGGCACCATTTTGTAATAGTTTGCCGCACTGGGAAACCATTAATACATCTAAAACTATCCCCAGGAAACTCTTCAGTTCTAACATGTCAAAAAGCTTTTAAAGGAAAAGTACTGGGGCAGCTAGGTGGTGTAGTGGATAGTGTACTGGCCCTGGAGTCAGCAGGACCTGAGTTCAAATCTAGCCTCAGATTCTTACTAGCTATGTGACCCTGGGCAAGTCACTTAACCCCAATTGCCTCCAAAAAAAAAAAAACTAAAAAGAAAAAGTAAAAGTATCCTATCTCAAAACTCTGGCCAAATAATTCCTTGAACAATTGACTAGATTTCTTTTCTAAACTTGAGTATGAATTTTGCCAAAGCAAAGGCCTAAATATTTTTACCCTCTCCCCATAAACTGAAGAGTTGATATTTACCTCCAGACTTTGTGATGGGCATAAATGACCTAGCATTACTAAGGCTGGTCTGGAATCCATTCAGCTGTCCTTCTGTGGAGGCCGTCCTAGCACACAAAAGAACCTCATTAGAGCTAAAAATGCGAAAATGGAAAGGCTGTCAAAAACCTACAGTCAATCTTCTGCCTACAAAACTATTATGTAACACTTGTCCTAATGAGGTCCAGAAATGATTGTTTGCTTTGATATAAACTTATTCAGGAGGAGGATACAGCATTTATATCTGATACTTCAGATGTGAGAGCCACATAAAATACACTACTAAAGCTAAGAAAATTCAGGTGTTCATTTGCTCAGACCCAATGGACTCCTGCTAAACCTGACTCCACCTGACACTCAGCATTCTCTTAATGCACACACTTGGTTTGCATGCGGCTAATCCACACTTGATGTGTTACTCCAGTGGTTTCCTGCACGTGCACTTGTTCTGTTTGTACATGGTATGCTCAATAAATATCGTCGAAGGAATGCCTTCTGAGAGGACTTTAAAGCAAAACAAAAAGGAGCTGGAGGACAATAATGAAGAAAGCTATTTGCAAATCTTAAAGTGCCACATAAACATGAACTGTGAGTTGCAACATGGAACACCAAAGTTAGAGTAAACTTGCTACAGATAAAAAGGAGATACTACGTAATACTAACCTTTCCTATTTAATAAAACCTGAAAACCTCCAAATTCCCCTTTTTGTTTCACTGGAAAAAAACCAAAGTAACAAACATTTGATTCTATATCAAAATTATTCCCCCCCCAAAAAAAAAGAGATAGAAGGTATCAGGTGAGTCAGCGAGTAAAGTTTACCTTGAATAAATTTGAACTACGTAGTAGGAAATTTTTGTTTAGGAAGATGACATATATATTCATTCTATATTATATATATGCAAACATGCATATATATGCATGTTTGCATATGTATTTAAATACATATGCTTAATTTTTAAAACTTTAAAAATCTCATATATATTGTACTGAAGAAACAAAAGCAAACAACAACAGGAAGAAGAAAATGTGCAGAGAGAGATGCACTGCAGCTGTAGAACCAGCATCTTGAATCAAGTGTCAGGCTTCAGATGTGTCAGGAGCTCCCTTAAAAGTAAATTACAGAAAGGCTGTTTGTAAACAGGGATGAAATGTGATCTCTTCTCAGGTGCCTACATAGTATTGTACAAACTAAAGATCAGTCATATGTGTATATGTGTGTGTGTGTGTGTGTAACATATATATTTATAAAAATGCATACATATAAAAACATTTTATATATGTGAAGGACATATAATATATAAAGTCCATATGTGTCTATATATATAGACATATATACATATACATACACACAAAAGAACCTCAGAGATAAAAACGTGAAAATGTTAAGTTATATTTACTTATAATGATCACTGACTTGTAGGTTTCTCCTTCGTACTTACTTCATAAGCTTATGGTAGAACAAATTGGATTCTACCATGTGTTGTGCATTATTGACATAATTCCTAATATAAAAACTAATAATGATGCTAATAATACAATGGACAAACTGCTATTCACTTAATTTAAATAGACTTTTTTTTTGGTTATTGACATCTTTTAATCTATCCAATCATTGGCTGACATTGTATCTTGGAAAATGTCAGCTATAAAGGAAATAAAAATTTACAGATTGAGATCAGGACAACTTACTAAGGACATATTAATGTGGGATAATGAAACTCATAGCTCCTTAAGAGGTGTGGCTCAACTCAGAGCAAAGGCTGAAATACAATTGTCTAGCTTTTCAGTATTCTCTTGCTGTGGCTCTTGGAAATGGTGCTAGTGAGCTATGGGACCAGTTAAAGGTTAAGACCTGAAGCCCTAACAAGAACTCAGCTGTGGCAGTGCTTAATTAAGGCACTTGGCCAAGGATGAACCACTGCAGCTGCCAAAAAACATCTGAAAAGGCAACATGCCTGCTCACCCTAGCGCTTAGGAACTAAAAAAAAAAAGTGCCTCTTTGTAGCAGCAGATTATGAAAGGGATTCTTAGAATAGCCACGTGTTCCTTGACCATTTCTTCCTGCGGCAGTTACTTTTCTTGGGACTTGGTTGCAGTTACCCCATATGAATGTACCAAAACAGAACGACTTGTTCTGTTTCCCACCTATACTCCCCTCATTTCCTCCACTGAGGATTTTTCCTAACTTAAGTTTTCTGACATCAAAGAAAGGACCTGACGTGAATGTTATTCCTGTCCTGGGTATGATTATATAGCTCTTCTGAACATTTCTAAAGTGGTTGATGGTATAGCACAGGATGTCTCAAAAGTCTTAGTGTAATTTTACATTTTATAGTAACTTTAGAAATATTAATGCTACAAACTTGAAACATGTGAAAGATTATTTTAACTTTTTGTTTTTAACATTTATCTAGTTTAGTAAATTTTGAATAATAAATTTTTAATTTTAATAATATGGGGACAACCTGTGATTAGGCATTACATATGCAATACTTCTAGATGGTAGAGGAGGTCCTCTTGCTTGGGCACTTGAGCCACCTGATCTATCCCCATTAGACTTTGTCTTGTGGCGTCATGTCAAAAGTGTCATGTGTTAAGGCTAGGATTACAAATGCAATCCTTTCAGTCTTCTTGTCTTCAGGACAGGAAGAATCCAATTGAGTAGCAGCTGATAAACATTTTTACAGTTAAAAGACTGACTAGAGCGATGTATAATACAAGGAAATAGTGATGCTGAATTTTAACAGGAAATATCAATATTTTAAAATTGTACATTAACCTTAAAATTTTTTGGGGGGTTAAATTTGTAGCATTTACACTTCTAAAGTTATTAAAGATTATAACTGTGCTAAAACTTTAGGGATACCCTGTATGAAACAAAATTACCTATTAGATTTGTTGCATTCACTATTTTATCTCAGTTTATTCATTGTAAGGTGTAGTATAAAGTGCACTAATTTAGGAGTGAGAAAATTTGGATTTGACTCACTGTTCCAATATTTAACAGCCATCTGGCCTTGGATAAGTTACCTTTCTGACCCTCATCTGGAATATGAGGAAATTGTGATAGATTATCTCTGAGTTCCATGATGGCTCTAATCAGATATGTCCCTATTAAGTGCAGGGAATATACAAATATAGAAGATGCCTGATTGGGAATGCAGGAGAATAACAGTGAGATCAGGATATAGATGGTAAAGATATCCCTCAATTTCCAAAATTTACAATGAGTAAAGCACCAAAGGCTCACTCCCTCACCCCATAAACTAAGGTTCTTCTTCACAGGCTTCTTCATAGGACTCTCAGTTTCTTTTCTTGGCATTTTCTCCTGTTCTTTCCTTTGGCCCAATATTTGATCAGTGGAAACTTTCCTGTAAGTGATATCCTTTCTAAAAGTTCTGTTTTGTTCATTACTTCCCAAGACTGAATCCTGTTTGATGCTATACTTTTTCTTTTAGGTTAGCTTTCCATGTCTTTGTTCCTTTCTAGTTCTCTTACAAAGGTATTATTTTTCCATTCAATTGGCTCAGTAAAAAAAGTTTGTCTTGGACATATGCCATCACATTAAGATATATGGGATGAGAAGAACTCCAAATGGAATGTGACCAATATTTTCCAAAGAGACAGATACATGAGGAAGGTGAGAACTTGAGAAGTTGATTTGATCAGGGCAGGGACATTGAAAATGAGGTGTCAACAGCCCTAAAACCTAAGACCTCAAGTGCTATGCAATAATGGCGATTTACTAATCACAATTTCTAGTGGATGGGGAATAATAGCCAACTTCCTTAAGAAAAGCAACTAAATATCAAAAAGGGTAAACTAAACTAAAGATCAAGACTAAAAAGAGTAAGGTGGCACAGTGGATAGCATGCTGGATTAGGCAGACACTTATTAGCTATGTGACTACAGGCAAGCAAGTCCTTTAACCTCTATGAGTTTAAAGACCTCATCCACTGGAAGATCTCATTTCATGAAATCAAAAGTCCTTGATGTATAATAGTAATATGAAAATGTCCCTTTCATCTAATCACCATTGAAACCCCAATAAAATACCTCACAATTTCCCCTACAATATAACTGTAAACACCCACCACTATAAGCAGTACTATATGTACAAAGAGGTCTCTTCCTTTTACCCATCAACCTAGAAATTATACCCAGTACTTCAAAAAGGGAGGTTAATTTCTAGGGATTTATGTCTCTGGGATATTTAGCATATTTATTAATTATGGTCCTGGCTAAAATCAAATTAATATACATTATTTGCATGTATACAATGTGTTGTTCCCTAGGCACCACAGCTGAAAGGCAAAGAAATATAAGGCATGTCCCTGTCCTGGAAGAGCTCACAATTCACAGATTCTGACAAGATCCCTACTATATTTTGGGATAGGAGATTTCAAAGGGTTCATAGCAAGGGTAGGTAATATTCCATTCACTAAAATTTTATAAGGGCCATCAGTCCAGAAAGGAGGGGAATTTAATACTAAGAAATACATTTCTGTTTCCTTTAGGAATATTTCATTTTCCCTAACAACCTGGAATGTGGAGAAGCATTCTTCAGTTAAATCTTTCAGTTAAGAACTCTAGCAAACTTGTGAACATGCAATTAAAAAAAAAGATTTAAATAATTATTCAAGGCAACAATTAAAGGCATATCACAAGTTAGCTAAATGTATTATACAGAAACTTAGTATAAGAAATCGTATGTACCATAGACTTTTGGGGGCTGTTACAAACATTTATGTCAAGCAAAATAAATGTCCACATTGGTTATGTATATATTAGTATGTATACATACACATATAATATACGCATGCATACATGTATGTATATGTGTATAGGCATGTACACACATGTATGCACTGTGTATGTATGTGTGTAAGTAAATTTTGTGTTCTGAGTCCATCTTCTTATCTGGAAGTGAGTAGGATGTTTCATTATTTGTCCTTTGGATTAATAATTGCTGATTACAGTGATCAGAGTTCCTAATTCTTTCAAAGTAGTTTGTCTTAACCATATTGTTGTCATTGTAATAATAATTATTTTTTTGGTACTGTTCAA